ATAAAGCTATAGTGACAGTCGTAAATGTCATGAATCTTGGAGTCCGAAATGTAGGCGCCTCCGTCTATGTATCCCAAACTCTTTACACACAGTTCACAGTTGCTTAGTCCTCTTCGGAGTCTGCGTCGCTATCTGATAGTACGCTTTTGCGTGGCTTGCCATCGCCAATCTTCCATGCTGCGCCATCTCTCACGATGAGACCTTCATCGATAAGATATCGCTCTAGTTTCTCGTCCCCATTCCATGTAGCCGGGTCGAGCATTTCTAAGCGGCTTCCGTCCTTCTCAAGATGACGCCCAACGTGCTCCATGCGCTCATCCCAAGATGTAGCACCAACGAATATTCGCTCGCAGAAAAGGCAAGTCGAGTGCTGCGGTGGATCTCGTAATTGTAAGTTACAGCGAGCCTGGTGTTTGGGAAGATTCTCTTCGGAGACAGGGTAGTCTTTCTGAGTACGACTGGATTTGTCTTTCGGAGCAGCGTGCATACGGCGGAGATGTTGTGTAAAAAGGTCTTTACGGTTGAAGTCGTTGTAGTATAAAGTGTGCGCGTCGTTGGAATCAGTCGATGGCGGGCATAGATCGCAACGCCAGTAGCCGAGCTTGATGTGTTGGGTGCTGACGTGCCTCTTCCACTCGTTCTTTGAGGAGAAATTAGACGTACAGCCATACGCAGCGAGCGGACAAGGGAATGCGCGGCGGTCCTCAGCCTGGATGCTTGATTCAGTGCTAGCCTTCGAAGTCTTAGAGGCTCGACGAGGTTTCCTCTCCAACTTGACGGATTCTGTAGGGCTTGGGACAACAGAGTCTTTACGGATGGGTTTGCGTCGCTTCAGTGTTCTACTTGAGCTACTGTTCGATGCGGTAGACCGTCTACGTTTGCGGCTGGAAGACGGACTGTAGTCAGAGTCAGAGGCGGGCTCTTCAGGAAAGTCAACGCGCTCCACTGATTGTGCATCCCGCACAGAGTGGCCGATACCCGAGTCTGCGTACGTCCTGTAATCCGGAGTAGCCTCTTCCTTGACGGCAGTATGATGGTGGTCGCAGGTAGTCTCTTGTTTCATAGTAACGTCCTCAACATCTTCGGCCACTGCCTCAGGCACTGCAGGGTCATACTCAAGCTCACGAAGGCTGATATTGCCGCGCTCCACGACATAAGACTCGCATGGGTATACACCTCCCTGAGGATACTCGGCTTGTGGGTATGACAACGATAGCTGCGAGTATTCCATCGGACTTCCATACGGGATGCTATGGCGCATGTGTGGTGACCGGAGCTCGTCTTGGGTGTTTTGGCTAGTATTTCCAGAAGAAGAACGATCCGGTGACGCATGACGAAAGAAGTCTGCCGAAGGCCAATGCTGCTCGTAGGGTCTCTCGTATCGGTTGTCTAGAAATGGTATCTTTGCGTAAAGCATGCCTGGCGTAAGTGGGTTCTGATCGATCATGAACCGCTGCATAGGTTGCATGCTGACAACGCCATTGTCGTAGTCATCCAGATAGGAGTCGTCTTCAGTACAGAAATGCACTATACGCTCTTTGCATGGCTGTATATAGTTCATATGCTCTATCGCCCACATAGGATAACGAGCATCGTCCATAGCTTCTATCTGCGGCAAATCTCTGAATTGGTGACCGTCCATTGCTGATATTGAATCGTTACACAAGGTAGCGGAAGTAACGGTAGAAACTATGTGATGCGTGGCGTCAGAAAGACAACGAGGATGGAAAACGGAAGTGCTGGCAAAGGTTAGAGAAATTCAGAAAGTTTCAGTTTGTGCCATCTTACTTGACTGGCGAGAAACTCCCACGACAAGTCGCGATGGAAGTGTCCTGCTATGGCAGCAATGGTGGATAGAATTGGTTCAAGTACCGCGATTAGAGTGAGAAAATAAGGCAAAAAAGGCGGAGCGTATGTCAAGAAGTATGATGCGTAAAGGCAGTAGATTAGGAAACCTAAGGCTAGGTTGCAATGCTGTAACCTTTAGTGCCGTCTGACCATCCCCCCGATTGTCATACTGTCTACTGTTTTATGGTGAATAGTCCGCAGAGCCTCATCGTCAAGGACCAATGAGAATACCTTGTCCCTTGGCAATGTAGTCCCCTGTTCCTAAGGTTCACCGGTGGGGACAGCTGTGCACATTTGTCCAGCCACCACTGGAATTGACGTGGACAATCGGCACCTACCACCAAAGCGGATGGAGTCAGCCCCAGGAGCAGCCCTCTAATCAAAAGCAATCACGCTCGCTAGTGGTGAGCGGATCACTACCGTATCGCGATGTAGCCAAGTCTACATTTGTGCCTGAGCTGCGTCCGCGGAATGTACATTCGCTTGAAGTTGCTGGGGCCATGTGAACGCTACGAATGTTAATCGCTGGCCCACCAGTTTGACCGTTGGGGGCCGAAACAAGCAAGGAGATTGAATGGCGGACGCAGGATTCCAAGCACCAAAGTACTCACTGTCAAGAATTGTCGTCTCTACTCGGAGGCCGCACGTAAAAGTCTGTCGTTAGTCGCTGCCGTGCTACCGCACCTGCGTCAGGGACGTGATGGTTCCGAAAGCTGCCGCGCAAAAACAACGCTGATGAGAAGCCCAGTTCCCGATCAAGACGAGAAGCCGTCGTCGGTCAGAGTGTGGAGGAATAGACTTTCATTGGGAGTCGTTGCATTGTGGCTCGCCGGCTGGGGCGCATTTGGTCCAGCGAGACTCGATCCAGGCATCAAGATAGGGTGAAGCATGGCTTTGCCAGTGCAGTTGTAGTACATTGCTGGGAGGCAGTGGCAGAGCACTAGTGATGATGCTATCATCTCATGAATGGTAGAAAAGATAGCAGAGACACGCCTGGGCTGTTTCGACGGCTGTCTGCACCCTCTCTTCTGTCGTCGCCTCACGGCTAAGGCTCCAGACTCAACTTGCAAGGGACGCTGGTCGGTAAGAGCTTCGAATGTTTTGGGCTCTCGGGACGCATTTGGGGGCGGTGCGTCCCGTGTGTTTGGAGATGGAGACTGACGAGTGGCGGGCGGGGAACAATGAACTTGGAGGACTCGGAGCTTGTGCGCCGTCTCAAGTCGAGAACAGCCCACTCAGATGACATTGCGCTACCCCTGCGTCGGCGCGTGGGTAAGATGGACATGACTATCTTCACAGAATATTTGCTGTCAACTGTCAGAACACAGTCCGGCGGCTCTGCACAGGGGTGGAAAGATGTTCGAGGTCTAGAAATAGCGACGCGCAGAAAACGCGCCACCTTTGTCTGCTTGGCTTCAAGTCCCCGCAGATGGCTTGAAGCCACAGCTACCACTGCCACGAGAACCGTACCACTGGGACATGATGACAGTCATAGAAATTAGCTATCTCGCGCCGGTGGCCTGTATCTGGGGTCTTTGCGCAATGGAAACGCGGGATGATAGCTTTTTGGGCCTTTTCTAGATGTGTATGTACGCCATGGCGGTGCTATGGCCAGCAACTGATGCCCTGTGCCGACATTACGCTCCGAGTTTGGCAACGAGGCGGTCTTCAATGCCCTCCAATATCCATCGATGCTCCAGCACCTCCAGATTCTCGGCTTCACTGAGAAACAGCTTATCCGGATCCTGCTCAGGACCCATCATGCCACCCCCGCCTCCGTTGGCCATGGCCATCTGTTGGGTAACTTGGTTGGCAGCTTAAAATAACATTGTCAGTCGTATTCGATTAAGGAAATGATGTCATCAACGTACCATTGTTGCTCCCCAAGATGAAATTGTAGACGGGCTGAAGTCCGAACAACGTCAGGAAATACCAAGACAAGCTGGACACCCATCTGACGTCCAGGTCACGAGTTCCCACTCCAGATTGCAGCATTGACTTGAACTGTGGCGTCAATGGGAAGGGCAGTTTCACTGCACACATAAATTAGCCACTGCTAAGTTTTGCTTTTACGGCTCGGGAGCAGCCGAATCTCAGAGTATCCCGACAATGCGTGCCGACGAGTCGCGAGGATGGTTCCGATGCAGACAACACATCAGCCGCTCGCTTCGCCCTAGCAGGTAGCGCATACGTGAAGGAGCTGCTCCACTACAAAGCCAGGCAAAGCGAAAGGTCACGCAATGTCTGGAGATGCGACGCCCAAATACTGGGATGCCCATGGACGCTCAGTTCCCAAGGACACCTAGTCTTGCATTCTCGATCTCTTTGGGAAACAATCGCGAGCCGTTTTTGCTTCGCCCACCAGGACAAGCGCGAAGAAGATGGACTTACTGATAACGAATCCCGAGAAGAAGGCATTGATCCACCCCATAATCAGCGTCTGTGGGATCATCATAGTCATCTGGCCCTTCATCATGCCCATCATACCCTCCATAGCCGCCGGGTCACTCATGGGATTTGGTCTCGGTTTCCCTCTCAGCTCAGGCTCAGCCAGGAACTTTCCCTCGTGGTACGCCTGCACCATGTAGGCTTTGCGAGCAGCGAAGGAGGGCGGCGAGAGAACCTGGGCGTTGGTGCGTAGGTTGACGCCGCGTACGAGGGAGCGCTGCTGTCGGATCTTGGCCAGGTCGTGTTTCTTGGGCGTGGACTGGAGCAGTGTCATTGCGTAGTGGCGGAGGATGCCTGTCAAGACCTAGAAGCTAGTTAGATTCTTCTTTTGGTGCATAAACGACTTGGATGGCATGTACCATGACGACTGTAATGGGGAGTAGAATCCACCAACTGTAGAATTATCAGCCATGCTTGTCTCGTCCACGGCAAACACCAGACCTACAACAGCGCGGGGTCCCGATGGATCGTCTGGACTACAGGCTGTCCCATGGTGCCGGTAGTAGACATTGATGCGGACGAGGGAGTGGAAGGGTGGAGGTCGGTGGTTGTTGGTTGCTTGACGACGATAGCTCGCCGCTGAGGCTCCGGCGGGATGTTGCAACCAGGGTCCGCGCTTTGCGCTTATGGAAAGGTGTCCCATCCACGAAACTACATCACCAACTGCGCGACAACCCTGGCCAAGGCACAATCACAACCTCAACATGTCTGCAACCCAGAAAATCGCAGTCCACTCCCTTGCCGGTATGTGTTGCATATCCGTCGCTACTACCCATCCAGCGGCGCGCCTGTAGGACTTGGATCTAACATGCACCCTCAGACCTCAAGAACACGACCGATGACGCGCTCCCCAACTACCTCAACAGCCTCAAATTCAAGCAAATTCACACCCAGACCGATGTGCGGTTAGTCCTCGGCTACACAGCCGTCACCATCGCCGGCGCCCTTTTCTACTACGACTGGAAATTTGGCTGGGAAGCCAGCAAGCCCTATACCCTACCCGCCGTAGTCGCATATTTCCTGTTAAACGGAGCCTTCAGTTATTGGCTATGGTTCGTGGAGAAGGGGGTTGTATATGAGGGGGAGGGCAAGACAGGCAAGGTACGTCTACAGGCTCCATTCGCATACATGTTCCCGTGTGGACCATTCTGACAACACCAAGGTGAGGATATCCTCGTCGACAAAGAAGCACATCCCCATCTACGAATGCGACGTTGTCTTTACACCCGCCCCTTACAACTCCAATCCCAAGCAAACGATCCACATCCGCGCGCCCATGACCCGGTGGTTCACCTCGGATGGCTACTTTGTCGCAAAGCCCTTCCAGCAATGGCTCGCTTCTGAAGTGCCTGTTGTTGGTGCTGCGGACCCTAATAATGTGGTTGAGGAAATTGGTCGGGGAAGTGCGGGTATGGACCAGACCATGAACCTGAACAGCTCCAATGCCGTGGATATCCTGCAACAGCTCAAGGCGAGTGGTGCCAAGTTTGCGAGCGGGGATGCGCAGAGGAGGAGATAGAGGGTCATACACTTGTGGGATACAAGGTCAGCATGAGATCCAGACCGAGGCGTTCAGGTGTCTACGGCTTGACATTAGCCATATTGCACTCGCGGGATAGCAAAAGCATCACAATGGTTTAGTGAGGGGGGGACACCAAAGATCTTTACTTGACACGATTGCTGTTTCCACTATTTAGGAATACTATGCGATGGCTAGGTTGTACGAAACGCCAACAAATGCTGAAGAAACGACTTCTGGATCATCATCCTCATATCCAATCTGGTCCTGCTACATGATCCAATTTAAGACATCTCCTGCTCAAGCATGGGCAATACCTCCAATTCTCTCTGAATAATCCTCTCAAACTCTTCCCTGTCTATGCCCGATGCCCTCGCTAATCGGAATAGGCTCTTGATGTCAGTGCTGATGTGTTGTTTGATCGCAAGCTCCGCTTGACTGTAGTGCTCGGCCTTTCGCTCCAGCCTCTCAATTGAGTTGGTCGACGCCGACGACGAGGGTCGTGGGTGGTTCATTGCATTCGCAGCGGCGCTGGGGTCCTGCTCGACGGACTCAAGATGTACCGCGCTATCATTACCGTGAACGCCACTACCATTCATAAGACTATTCGTATATGCTGGCGGCATGGACGAGTCGTAGCCATTCGGCCCCAGATTCGTCGTGTCGAGAGGTTCCATCTGCGGCTCGCGGGTATAGTCGAGAGCGTTGCCATTGAGAGTCGACTCGCCAGCTGCGGGGTTCTCTTCATCCGGGTCGTGCGCGTCAAGAGCTGGCTGCACTTCAGAAGCATAGCGTTCAAAGTATTCGAGCTCTGACTGTGTTGGTCCAATTTGCGTTCGGCTGCTGGTAATCGGGGCTGGAGAGCGCCTGGGCTGTGGTGTTCGTCCGGGCGTCTGATCATATGCAGCCCAGTATGAGCCGTCGTCCTCTTCTTCTATTGCCTCCTCTGCAGCAGGTTCAGCCTGAGCGACTGCTGTCTGGACTGTGATGCCGTTGCTCTTGACTGGGACAGACTTTCGCCTGAAGCCAGCCTCGTCGGCAGCGGGCATGTTCTCGAACCATTCCGTGCCATCTTCAGCGTCGTCTGTTCCTCTCAGTTCGGCTAACAGCCAGCGGCTTCCACCCTCGCCGCCGGTGCACCAGAGGTACGTTGGTATGATTCCATATTCGCCAAGCACCAATTTTGAGTGTAGCGTCTCAGGGTCTGATCGCCGGTATAGTATTTGATCTGGTTCCTCCACTTCGATCTCTCCAGAGGCGGGATGGGGCTCGACGTTTATCTTTTCGACAATCTGCGGCAGTCGTGAGGCGACTTCTCGGTCCCAGCACAACAGCGACAACCACTCGTTCGAAGACAAGAGCTGTACACGTTGGCGAAGAATAGGCGACAGGAGGGGCAGAAGCCCTGGGGGAACCTCTTTAGAAGCATTCGCTGTTGAGAGGCAAGCGAGTAGCGGTGGGAGGAGCTCCCTCGAATCGGGCCGTGGGATGACTTGGTTGAGTCCAGGCATGGCTGCAGTGCGGGGAAGGTATCTAGGAGTATGGTGTGGAAGACTGAGAGCGGTGTCGGTATTCACTCAAGAACACGACGAGTGTACTGGTTTTGGCAGACTCGTAAAGTCGACTAGGGAAGACGCCGTAATCGATAGGCCTAGGATGTTTCGAAGGCTTTTGTGCTTTTCTGGTGCTTTTCTGGTGCTTTTCTGGTGCTTTTGTCTCTTTACAAGAGCCTGTGTTTTGTAGACGTTTGCAACAGAGTATTGTGCAACTCGCCAATGGTCTGCAGTCTTGTCTGTGCTGCTTGAGTGGTGCTGTATCAGTCTGGTGATGCTGTCACATGCGAATGCAACCAGTGACGCGCAGAAGTTCGCAGACGCTGAAGCGGGGAAGGTAGGAAGCGACAATGGGGAGGTAAATCGCAAGATGCAAGTGGAAAAGAAAGAGGGAGAGAAGCACTTTGAAGCACTTCTCGTTCCATTTTCGCGAACAGCGGTACTGCAGAAACAGTGGATGCTTAGCTGTTGTTAGTCTCCGCTCCACCGAAGGGTCACTGCCGTTCCAAGACGCGCACCGGTTACGATTGCCCGCACGGCTAGATCGTGGTATGGAAATGGTTAGCCTCATCGAGAGCCTCATCAATCAGACACGCTCTATATCCAACTCAACAACGCGTCCAGAGCTCGTGGACTTGCTTCGGAAAAATTCCCAAGGCTCGCGGGACATCGTCCCCTTGGTTTCAGAGTGTCTTGCTACCACCCCAGGCCCAGCGCTTCCACCACGAGCATCTGAGCTGGACATGTATGCACCCACCAGGCGTGGTACATATACCCTGCGGCAGTATGCCCAAACTCACGATGGTATTGAACGGGTGTAGGAGACCTGCAGTGACGTCAACTTTTTGCGATCGCCAGCCCTGGATCGGCACAACACCTGCACAAGACCCTTCATCACGGGTACCTTGCATACTCTGGTAGTAGTTGATGAAGCCGTGATACCAACATCTTGGTTCGAGTCTCCCACCTCGGCTACATTGCATCGCACTCTTGGTGCTCCATTTGACCGCATTTCAATAAATCCCATTGATGGTGAGTTTGTTAGGCGAGGCCTTGCATATCCAACACCAGCAGCACGTTTCACGACCAGTATAATCAGACCATTACCATATCGCTTGTGGCTACAGCGTACATCACGGTATGCAGCACCCGAAGCTATATATCACAACCTATGGGCGCAACATTGCACCTTATATCTTACCGAAGCGAAGCGATCCTGCTATTTCCGTCATAGGACTCGCCCGCGGCGATGTGACAGCATATATCCTCAAATCTAGACCAGGTTAAGGTAGTGTGCGCTGAAGACAGCAGGTCGATGTGCTCCTTCGCCATATTTCCGCGAGCCCCACAACCGTCCGGGAGACTATCCGGCTTTGCTCTATGAAACTGGGGCCAGCCACTACCTTATCCGCTTGCGACGTGGCTAGAAAAGCTTCATCCTTAGACGTGGCTGATCATGCAAGGCATTCCATGCTATGTCGTCACATCGCGACGGTCATAAATGGGCAGAAAAGAACAGCTGCATAAGGCGGCCTGTGACTTCCATGACGAGGGCCCGATTACTAGCATGCTGCTGTTTAACTGGCACGCATGACAGATGAAGAGCAATTGCAGGCTTGGCCTATCTTTATATAGCATCAGCATTCGGCTGCTAAACTGCTAAGCGCCAGCCTACGCGGGTGCGCAACAAAGGCTGGGTACATGTTTCGAGCGTTGAGCGCGTTCTGACATGACAGCCTCGATCGGATTAGATGGCAGGAGTTACTACAAGCATCATAAACAGCAGATCGAGTTCGCCATGAGGGTATGCCCTCGAAGCATAGCCACCCGCTCGCCCCGTGTCCAGCCCCCTGCTCCCGCTTCTGTATAGCAACTGAGGCTGTGCCGTTTGTATCAAGCCTGCCAAGAACGTGTCACGCATCTGCAAATCTGCCTCGAGACGCCAGTCAAGCTCACAGCTGCCATCGCGCCGTCGCGCTTGTTTTCTGTCGATCTGCTCTTTCTCACAACCTCCTGGACATCTGCGCAGTCTGCGCCCACATCGTTTCGAAGACGTGAACAGCATCTGCTTGGCGTGCATCCCTCTACCCCGGCCTTACCATTCTGGAGATCTTGGGGGAAATCAGCCTTGACCGGTGCCTCGACTTTCGCTCTTTGCTGCGGCTGGCTCCACCGTCGACATTGAATTCCACGCTGTTTCTACCAACCAACCGAGAACTTCACGCTGTTTTTCTGTTGCTCGCGCGCGCCGTCACCCGATTTCGCTCGCGACCCACTCTGAAGCTGTCAACATCGTACAGGGCCGGCATTGCCTCTAGCCTCAACGGCTCCAAACTTGCGTCTTGTGCGAGGCAGATCGCTATCCAACTTCAAGCTACAGCGGCCTGTCGTCTTTCGCTTTCAGCCGCACCGCGATATTTCTCTTTCGTTTCGTCTCTCCGCCAATCTTGCTGCGTGTGTCGACGCGCTGCGATACTTTTGCCCCTCCCTTTGGCCTTCTGACTTTCGCATAAACAACATCAGTAACCTTCAGGCAGCACTATGCCGCCCTAAGCAGTGTGGGTCACAGTCACGTTACCATTCCACACTCGCTGCTTGTCGCAACCATCTATCAATCGGTGCGATCTGATCTACCGTCGACTCAGCCACAAGGCCGTTCGGTATAATCGGAACAACCATGCAAGCAGTTGATACGCAAACACAGCCCTACCAGGACCCTCGGCGTCAGCCGCGCCACCCTCAAGATGTGCAGGCTAGCGGTTATCAACTTGCGCCTTCTACCGGCAATTTCCTAATGCCAGATGCGCAAGGCACATTTACGTACTCTGCAGAACCGGCATCCATGGTTTACGATGGGTCCATGGTATCGCATCCCTCGTCCAGCACCCCTGGGCAAGACTCCATCTTCACTCCAAACATTGGATCCTCTCTCGACTCTTCCTTAAATCCGGATATGTCATATCCCCCACCGAATGTCTACAGCCAATCTCAAAACTACGGTTTCTCTCCAGGATCCTACTACGGAAACGGCCAGAATATCTCACCCTCGCATTCGATCGATCACATCAGTCCAGAAGCTGGCTATATGAGCGATCCAAATTATCACGATCCAAGCACCTACGCTACCCCGAACTTTAACGGACACGTTCTTGACGAATTCTCCGGCCTAACATTTGCTGAGAACGGTTCAACCAGCAATTTTCCGGCGTTCCAGGAGCATGTCGACATGTCAGCCCTGACCTCAGGGTCTCTCAATACATACAACGCCCAGCCGAGCGTTCCCCTCAGTAATACTTCACTAAACCCACACCATCAATTGCTGTCCCCAAGTGCGACAAACAATTCTAGTCCAGCACTTGGCGATGAGAGCTCAGCGTTCACCTCCATGCAGTACAATGGGAATATGTCGACGCCACCAAATCACGGCACTCATCTACCTCAAGCAAC